GTGGCATATTGTCATATTCTTCGCTGACCTCATCTATAAAATGCCTATCAATTTATCAGGTGTGATGTTGGGGAAAATTCACTACTTTAACTTAGAATAACATGGGAAGTACTTCCTGAAAGGTGGAGATCCAATCAACCAATTATCATTTCCCACCCCAATAGTTTCATTATTGTGGTATTTTTGAAAGTATGGTTACATAGTATAGTGGCTGAAGAATTTTTGTCTGAGCATTGATTGTGTTTGGAATTCTCTTCCCAGAGTGGTGTGGCAGGGGTTTTGCACGTTTTTTAAGGCAGAAGTAGATTCTTGACTAATGAAGGGGTCAATGATTATCAGAGTTAGTCAAGAATGCAAAACTGATGGCTCAATAGGATGAACCATGATGTTACTGGATGCCTAAGGGCCTATAGCTAGTAAATTGTTTGTTCATATGTGGATTAAAGATGTTTGATATCTGGAAAACAACTTTAGCCTATCACAGCTCATCTTGTGTTGCATTTCCAGTGAGACTTAAAAGCTCTCAAACATTACCCTATTAAAGAAATATTTACTGCACTGTTAAGCTTGTGATCTGGATTTGAGTTAACAGATCAAAAATACATTGGTGCAGTTTACAAATGATCTTGTGACCCTTAGGCTGATGTACAAAGCATGGATAAAATTGCAAGATTTTCATTACTTTGCACTGACATTTAACGACATCTTCAGGAAATGGTGTGGGTGTAGATGATAGATGTTGTCAACGTTAGGTTTGGTGCTCATCAAATCTAGGGGCTAGAACAAACATTAATGGAATCCTCCAGAATGCAAAGAATGACAAAAAAAGGTAATGTGGCAATGTAGGTTAGCAAAACTGTTCCATTCAGACATGATGCAGCAACTTTTACTAATTATCATCTCCTAGTTATACAATCCTCCAGTGACATCTTTGTTAATTGTTCTCTACATTTGGAGTGAGAAAATTCCTGTCTGTTAAGGCAATCAAGCAGAAATTTAGGAGAAGTAGTACCTCACGAAGCTCAAGCGTTTTCATTTAACCCCCCCACAACAAATTTATTCCCTTTAACTGTGAAATTCTGCAGGTGTCTTTCATGTTCATGTTTTACTGTTGTCATTATTTGATGGAATGTATTTTCTTCAGCTCCAGTCACCCTTCTTGTGACGTTTAATCCTGGACTTGAATTCTGGCACTGTGCACTCTGCATAGTTCTGTCTGAACCAAAGTCCTAGAATTTGTCTGGCTTGACTTGGGAGGAAGTTGTTGGGATAAGATTATATACTAAAGAATGGAGCAGAAACTATTTTGGTGTCAGATGAAGTGTGAATTCACAAAAAAAAAATCCTCTTCTTGGCTTTCACTAAAATACTTTAATTGAGTTAGACATCTGCCAATTCTTGGTGTGTGATATGCCAAAGATCAGTAAATTGTTGGAATTTTATTTTGAATATCCCAATGTTCAGCACAGAGTAGCCAAGCTTGCAAGATTCTTGGGAATGAAACACAAGTTTCCTCCCATCAACTACTTCCCAATGGGACAGGATGAAATCTGTATTTATCAGGTGAATGCAAAGGTGGAAAACTTTGTTGTGTGCCCACTTTATGCTCAATACAAAAGGAGGATATACATATGATAGACAACATTCAATAGAGGTACATCAGTTTGGCTGTGTTGATGACAACTTGCCTCCTGGGTCAGGAGTTGTGGGTCTTAGGTCATGTATCTATAAGCCGAGGACACAAAATGATACTAAGGTTGTTGGAGATGTCATTCCCATTGACAAGACTTCATATCAATCAACTCAAAAGCAATTGTGTCACCGCAACAAATCATTTAAAAAGTTAAGAAAGCCCCGATTGTTCATGTTAACTTTAGTTTTTTATAGAAAACAAAGCATAAAAAGTTTGGAGTATCCCTAGATGGCATCCCTCCCTTTAACACAAACCAGCAGGCAAAGGCTTGTTCATTGCACTGCTGTTCTAAGATGCTGCTGATGCAGAATTGTTTACCTGTCTAGTAATCATTGTATTTGTGATTCATTGGTTGAGGAACTTTTGAAAGCTTTTCACAAAGTGGTAGATTTCCATAATTGACAAAAGCATTTCTTTTTAAACCGAGTTCTAGTTAGGGAAACTGTAAAAATACAAAATTGTAATCACCCTGAGGCTTCTTGCATAAGACTCCTGCCAAACAAGGGATAGTTACTGGACTGTCTAGCCACCAAACAAGTATTGGTAGAAAGTGTATTCCATTGAGCATGGATGTGTCTTTAGAAGAGGCAGCATTTGTCCAAATATTATGCTTACCAGAATTAGATTTTTCTTAATTAGTTAGCAAGCTGATACCAGGCTATACTGAGGCTTGTGCGCATGAGATATGATCCCTCTTAAAACACTGAAGGACTTATGATCTAAGTTTTACACAATGTTGTTAGAATAGTGAAGTAAATTTAATATTGTATTTGCATTCAATTCTTATTGTATTTGTAATGCAATTCATATCAGATTATTGACTGTACTGAATTTTGCTGACAGGGGCTTTGACTTTGGAGTCTTCACCATTTTCATGAATTGTGGAAAATGCCCTGTAGGTATTTTTACATTCTGATAATGGGGAGACAAATCCCCTTTTGGGCTAAGTCTGGTTGCAGGTCAGTGTTGTGATTGGCCACATCTTTAAATTTGACTCCAATACAATCTAAAGTGAAAAATCCTGAAAATACAACAAAATGAAAGATAACACGCAGTTTAAGATTTCAGATGGAACCCTTCAACAGATTTCCAAACTGTTCTCATTCTTTTCTGAAGCTCATTAGTCTGTTTTTTGTTGTCTTTCTCTCTGTCTCTGGTCTTATAGGTATTATCATGGCCATTCCTTGGGTGAATGGAATCAAGGTACGTGAGCAGGCTTTTCAGTTGTGATCTGCATAACGCTGTAATTAGTTTTGCCTATACTTGACGTCCACAAATAGGTCTATCAGCAACACATGCCAACATAATGCATGCCTCACAACGCCAAGCACCCAGGTTTGATTCCACCTTCAGGCACCTGTCACTGGAATTTGCACATTCTCCCCATGTCTGTTGGGATTTTCTCCCACAATCCAAAAGTGTGCAGGCTTGGTGGTATAAGCCTGCACAC